GCGGAGCAACTATGGAGTCACCCGTATGCTATGAAGCTGAAATTAAAATTACCAGATTACCGGTACGAGGCAATTGAAGATCAGGAAATGACATCTAAAGTGTAGAACAACCACATTCGAACACCTGCCACCGTTAAGAAACACATGCCCAATGGAAAATACTATTTCTTCAATAGTTAACACCGATATAGCTAAGATCAGTTACTAAAACAACGGTATATAGCAGTGATATTATAACCAAACAGTTACACGGTGGTTCAGATACAACCTAATACATAAATTTAACCACGGTGCGCAAAAAATTGATTTCAAAAAGTCTGTAGTCATCAAACATACACTCTATAGTACTGTGCTCTAATTTTATAAATCCTTGTCAGAACAGGACTACAGGTTTCACCAGATTGGTAAAGTCGTTGGCAGTGCCCTAATTCTGTCCTATTTAGGGGTTGAACGGGGTATACTGGATTTGTCTGCTATCCAGATTGAGATTTTGTCATCATACACGTCAGCAGTTTAGGCTCCCTGGTGACTGGCGGACGTTATATAACCCCAAGGTCATTAATATTCGGATGCAGACCTGGCTGAAGACAGAAGTGTGAGAAAATATCTGCAGCATATTGAAAAAGAAGTACTCACCAACAATAAGTTCATCGCTGAGACTCTCTGCCTGGAAAAAAAACACACAGAGAAAACTAGTCAGTCAAGGCTGCCCACCCAACTTTGACTACAGGGTTACATAACTGCTTTGTGGAGCCTCAGTTGAGTTTTTTCATGAACCGACATCACAGAACTCGGAGCATTCCTATAAGCGCTTCGTCCTTATCTTCAGCAGCCAGCGCAGAGTTCATGTACCAATGGTGCCAGCAGTATTTTGATTATACGTCCGTCTTGCCTTTCTTCTGAGCGACAAGTATCTGCCAAAACCCCTCGTCTCTTCCCGTTGCATCAATCTCACCAGGCTGTGGTGATCCATCTGCTCCTCCGAACAGTACACGCTCTCCCACACGACCCTAACCACTTCTGCCTTCTCATGCATCAGTATTCCACCAAGTTGTGCAAAGCCCGCCAGTCTGCCCGGTTGTCCATTTCCCAACATACCGGCCTGCTCCGGAGAAAAGATCCAATTAATGCTCCTCACACGTGACCTCAGCAGCTAAGCATAAAGCTCTGCAGCGAAGCATGGTACTTTGAAGCGAAGCATGGCACTCTGAAGCGAAGCATGGCACTCTAAAGCGAAGCATGGCACTCTGAAGCGAAGCATGGCACTCTGAAGCGAAGCATGTCACTCTGCACGAAGCATGCCTATCGTTACCTATTATATTAAATTAGTTGTAACTAGTTTAGAGGTTGGACGAGTTTTCTGAGATTTGCCTCGCTAATTTCCCATCCAGAAAAACAAGTTGGTAAACTTAGGGAGCTATGGAGTTCGTGCTTTGCGATACGTTCCGGGCAAGCGACTAGCTGGTGTGCGTTACATCGGTGTGATCATTTGGAATAGAATCGGTGAAATCTCCACATCAAAATTAAAATGTACATACACCTAATAATGTAATGTACAAAACAGAGACATCCATCAAGAGACACGCTTCATCAGAGACATCATCTTGCTCACACATCTTGTACACACATCTTGAACACACATCTTGTACAAGGACAATTGTGAGTCCTGCTTTTAATTCTCCGTGTCCTCCTACTGATCCATGAATTCTGCCACTGATCCTTGGATCAAAAAAGTTCTTTGGTAGGATTTCACAGACCTAACTACACAAAACATTAACACAGTACAACAGGGCTCTTCAAACTGTGGGTTGCAGAAACGTTCAGCTGGGCCGCCAAACATGTTTGCCTTATCCTTATCATGTAACAGGGCAGGGTTTTTTTTTTCTCTTTCACGACTGGATTGCTGGCTATAGGATTTAACAACTCAAGGATGAGAATCAAACAGGCACAAATCATAGAAACCCCATAAAACAGTCACATTAAGGCATTTGAATACTACGTAACCTGTAGTTCCGTCTGAGCTGGGAATCATCATCATCAATGTAGCAGGTCCTTTGCAGAACGTCACTCTCATCACAGTCTGCCTGAAAGAAACTCGGTCTCTCGCCAGTTCTTCCGCTTCATGCACTTTCACACCCAAGGTGTCATTTATATCCTGTGCCCATCTTCGTGTCGGTCGGCCCCTGCCCCTCCTTCCTGGTACCATGCCTTCTGCTATAATTTTTCCAATCCGTCGTGGCGCTTGATATGACCAAAATATTTCAGCTTCCGGGGGATGCTGTTTATTAGCCAATCTTCCTTGATGTTCAGATCTTTCAAGATGTTAATAATTCTCATCTTCTTTGTCTAAGATATTCTGAGAATCTTTCTATAGCATTTCAGGCCAAAAGCCCCTATCCCTTTTCTCTTTCTTAAGAACTGAGAGTTAGTCCACGACTCACATCCGTACGTAGCCACAAGGAAGATGCATGCTCTCAAAATTCTAATTTTTATCTCCTTGCTGGTGCTTAACCATAGACTTTTAAGGCTGTTCAATCCTGGGCTGGGAATAAGCACGATAATTCATTTAACGGTTAGAATATTCATACAAAGCGGGTATGGCGTTTAGTTGTTTAGTTGTGTTTTATCTGGCTGTAAGGTGGGCTGCCAGACAATTTCCCTTGTATTGATGGGAGGCGAGTGTAACACGGTTGAAGAACACTGTACTGCAACGTTCACCTGCATTTTATAATGTGGTTTTTAAAAAAAAATCGCCTACTGTAATAAAGAAAAAAGTTTGCTGCAAACTAATCAGTTGAGCTAGAGAAATGGTTGGGTATAAAAGAACGGTCACCGAAAAAAAATTTAAAAATAGATTTTTTTAAAAAAATTTGTTTTATATCCAGAAGCCATGAGTTGCTAACCCTTAGGCTCGGTACTATGGATATCGCAACCTTTCGGTCTTGATTCCATGATAGATACCGTAAATCTGGGAGAAATGTGGCCTTTCTGCCTACCCCCGGGCGTGAACCCGGACCACAAGGAGTTCGTCACCCAGTCGTTGCGAAGTCAGGTTTAAATAAATACGCTAGCTAGCCGGGCATAAAATTAGATAAAATATGCCTGTCACATGAACCCTTTGGGTCCCAAAAGGTTTTGTATGTATTTTTAAGTGGCACAATGACCATTTTGAATAATGACAAGCGTATAACAGTGATTGGAGGTAACTACACACAAAGCCAGATGAAACTAGCATTCTCTGACCAAATGTGAACAGAGGAAGAACACGATGTGTGATTGTCTGGATTCAGTGAATGACGCAATTTATATATAATGCGTTGCTTACGACTCAATGAGTTACAAGACATACAATCTTATACAACTCCTACTGGAGAGAAACGTTGAAAGCCAGAGGGTTATTTCTACGAACAACGAACCTGGATGCGGAACAACCACGATTATCAGCGAAAGCTCCACAACAGAACTACATACTTTGATGTTATTAATAACACTGCTTACTTGTATGTTATAATAAAACTACATACTTCTCTATCCATAATAGAACTACCTACTTCCGTGTCTCTAATAGAACTGTATATTTTAACGTCCATAATAGAACTACCAACTCCCATGTCTCTAAGAGAACTACATATTTTAACGTCCATACTAGAATTACCTACTTCCGTGTCTCTAATAGAACTGTATATTTTAACGTCCATAATAAGACTACTACTTCTCTATCCACAATATAGCGACCTACTCTAACCTATGTAATAGATATACCTATTTCTATGACCATAAAAGAACTACTTACTTGTACGCCCATAACTGAACTACCTACTTCTATTTCTCTAACAGAATTACCTATTTCTCTATGATATAATAGAACTAGTTACTTCTGTGTCCATAAAGGACAGGACAGATAGCGTTCAAATCTCCCAGGTGCTCCCACCCATAGTAGCCTCAAATTACTTACTTGAACGCTTGTCTGAGCTCTTCTTCGGCGTCTGTCTCTTTCAACTTCTTGGACATCATTCGCAGAAACTCGTTGAAGTCAATTGTGCCACTGCCTGAAATACGAGTTGGGCATTAGAAGAAATTCATTCAAATTCAGCGGTCCCACTGCCTGAAATACAAATGGGACGTTTGATGCAATTCATTCAAATTCAGTGGTCCCACTGACTGAAATACAAGTGGGACATTAGATGCAATTCATTCAAATTCAGTGGTCCCACTGACTGAATACAAATGGGACATTAGAAGAAATTCATTGAAATTCAGTGGTCCCACTGCCTGAAATACAAGTGGGACATTAGAAGAAATTTATTCAAATTCAGTGCTCCGACTGACTGAAATACAAGTGGGACATTAGAAGAAATTCAATCAAATTCAATGGTCCCACTGCCTGAAATACAAGTGGGACGTTAGAAGAAATTCATTCAAATTCAGAGGTCCCACTGCCTGAAATACAAATGGGACATTAGTAGAAATTCATTCAAATTCAGTGGTCCCACTGCCTGAAATACAAGTGGGACGTTAGAAGAAATTCATTCAAATTCAGTGGTCCCACTGCCTGAAATACAAGTGGGACGTTAGAAGAAATTCATTCAAATTCAGTGGTCCCACTGCCTGAAATACAAGTGGGACGTTAGAAGAAATTCATTCAAATTCAGTGGTCCCACTGCCTGAAATACAAGTGGGACGTTAGAAGAAATTCATTCAAATTCAGTAGTCCCACTGACTGAAATACAAGTGGGACGTTAGAAGAAATTCATTCAAATTCAGTGGTCCCACTGCCTGAAATACAAGTGGGACGTTAGAAGAAATTCATTCAAATTCAGTGGTCCCACTGACTGAAATACAAGTGGGGCTTTAGAAGAAATTCATTCAAATTCAGTGGTCCCACTGACTGAAATACAAGTGGGGCTTTAGAAGAAATTCATTCAAATTCAGTGGTCCCACTGACTGAAATACAAGTGGGGCTTTAGAAGAAATTCATTCAAATTCAGTGGTCCCACTGACTGAAATACAAGTGGGGCTTTAGAAGATATCTTTTCAAAGTCAATGATTCCCCTTCCTGGTACACGAGTGGGACCCTCAGATCACAATGCAAACGGCTTAACGGCTTCACCCATGAGAACCTCCTCTGAGACATCAAAGAAGTCGGCAATACTGTGTCAGAAGGTATACTGAAAATCCCACAGTATCAAGCAGCTCCCCATACAAAACGAATACGCTCTCAGATCTTGGTTCGCACCAAAACCTCTTCGTTTCTCTAGATAACACAGCATCCATAGATTTAAAACCGTACAAAGCCTTAGAAATAAATACATTAAACGCAAGCTATTGCTAAGAAAAGGGGTGAGGGAAGGGGCATGCACAGAAATTATGATACATTTAAATTAAAGTCTTTCACAGCGAGCACCAGACCCAAAACATACCACACAAAAAAATATAGAAACCGTCCTCGTAAGGAGAGACACGTATATTTATTTTTCTTGCGGGATCTGTAAAAAACCGTGCGGCTACTGCCGAAAACAAAGATGCAAACACTATAAACTTTGATCACATAGATTCAGCTATATAAAGCTCCGAAGCCCGTACAGTTTCTAATTCCCCTTACCCTCGTGGACGAATTTTTCGTTATTGTGAAGCCCCACTCTGGTTATTGCCAGGGGTCCTAATATAACCTAAAGGTTGAACGGGATTTATGAGACCTCTCCACGGGTTACCTCATCCGAATTGTAACACTTTGTGTCACCGGGTGTTTGTCGCTTAGCGTGATGTCATGGTAGGGTAGAAAGTCAGTCAGTACAGTTTCACATTACATAAGCTAATCTCAGAATACCTTAAAATATACACCATTTAAATATATGGATACAAATATATTGTCGTTTAATTTCTACTAAAAAGAGACATTATACACAAATTTCTTTGACAAAATCACAGAAAATATGTTATATAATCCTCTAAAAGGCAGTAGGTTATAACAAAGAACATTTTCCCCTTGATTTCTGAAATGCAAAATCATTTACTGTTTTTGGTGGGTACTTACCATCAGCATCAACTTCATTGATCATGTCCTGGAGCTCATCGCTTGTCGGGTTTTGGTTGAGAGACCGCATAACGGTCCCCAACTCGCTGGTGGTGATAAACCCGTCCCCATCTTTGTCAAACAGGTTGAACGCTTCCTTGAGCTCTGTAGTGATATGATATAGTTAACCATACATTCATGCAACATAATGATGATTATTATAGTAAATATATTCTTCTTCTGTCTATCTAAGCCCAAATAAAGAATAGGCCTTCATCCAACTCACGCCAGNTTTCCGTCTTTCCAGACGATAGAATTATATCGAGCTATGATGTGGCAAGGGACTCAATACCATGGCGATGGCGAGTGTGACTTGCAAGACCCGCCCGCGTTAAGAAAAGTTTCCACAGCTATAGCATGGAATTTCAGGACCATTGTTGTCAACATTTGTGTTTAATGAAATCGTATCTTCCTTTTTTCTCGTTCCCTTCCTGATGTTCCCCCCTCAACATAACACGGGCCATAGCATTTTGTTCCCACGAGTCCACATCAATACTTGTACCCTTCATGTCCCGCTTGCATTCTCTTTATATCGTTGTTTAGGTCCGCCTCGACAACTTCTACCTGTCTTTAATTCACCATAGAGGATGTCCTTAGGGCCTCTGCTATCCTCAATTCTCCAGGTGTGACCCAGCCACCTGAGCCTTCGTAGACTGAGCATTGAGAAGACTGTGGTAATACCTGCTCTTTCCAATACCTCGACATTCCTGATCTTGTCCTACCACTTAATGCCAAGTATTCTTCTTAAGCATCGCACGTGAAAGCTATTTAGCCGTTTCTCCTGGTGCGAATAAGTTGATTAAATTTCACTGTCATAAAGTACAGTGCTGAGAACACAAGCATGATAGACAAAAGACAGAATGTGTAGATATAATTTATTACTTTATATTCTTTACTAGTATGTTATTTTAAGTTACTCAACCCTACTGTATGGCACATAGACCTGAACAATATAAAATCAATTAAAAAAAAAAAGTATGTGGAGATATGAATATACGTTGTTTTTCAAATGTGGAAACAAAATCAAATACAGAGTTTCTGAAGATACTAGGAATGTAAAAATCAAGTCGCTAAAGAAATCAAAAATCAAAAAGAGACAAGTGAAATTGTTTCATAAAAAAAAGTCTCTAGTAAAAACTATACTGGGGGAGGGGGAAAGGTGAAGGCAAGCGAGCAAGCGGTAACAACGATACAAGTGGGAAGATAACATCAGTAAACGGGCAAACATCAGTGTCAGAGAGTCTACAACCAGGTCTAATGACAAAGCGTGTTAAAGATCTGTTACAGCAAACTTTCACCGTGGAGACGGCACCTGAGGGATTGATTCATTTTATTCAACAAGTGTTAGGGATTGTACATCTTCTGTATATACGCAAGCCGAACAATTTCTTGTGGGCTCTGAGATGAAATTTTACAGAAGAATATTTAGAATTCCTTAGACAACCAAAACGAGCAATCCAGATGTGTGGAAAGGGGCGAGTACTCGAAGACACAAACATCAGAAAGAGGCAGTCATCATTTTTTGGTCATGTTATTATGAGAAGGTCGGCTCTGTGGCTAAGTCGATGCGAACGCTTCGTAATGCCGGGATGACGGGTTCGATCCCAGCTGCGGGCCAATCGCCTTGTGTTGGTTTTGACAGTGGTATCAAGAAAGCCGACCGCCCAGAAGGGATGGCAAACTACTGGATGTAAATTTACCTTAAAAAAAAAAAACACAACAGCCAGGGTCTGCTGGGGTTGGTTCTGCAACGTCCTGTAAAGGATACGCAACTAACCTTTATTATGAGAAGAAGGAAACTCGAAAATTATGGTGCAACTGGGAAGATCTGTGAAAAAAGAGAGGCACAGGAAGAAGGCGCGAGACGATTCTTGACAGCTTTATGCTATGGCACGGAGGTGAGTCAACACACCAACTAATACACGCAGTTGCAGAACGCAGATAGTGGGGATGCATGATTTCCCACGCCAGTCGGCAAAACACTTGATGGCAGTGGTGATCTCCTGTATGTAGTAATGTCAGATTCTTTAAAAAAAAAAAAAAAACCTACAACAAAAGTGCATTGCAACGATGTCTCCTCAGCTTCTTCGTCTCCCTGTCCTGTGTGCTGATCTACCTTCTTGCCCGAGTTCCCATGGATAGGTCAGTGATGGCGATAACGGTGCTATGGCTGGTCAGTTGCCTGAGCTTTACCGGTCTGCCCACATATTACATGTCCAATGTCCACATTGCGGTAAGTAGGTCATTCTTTGTTGTCAACAATTAAGTCATATTTATGTAGCAGGTCCTTTGCAGAACGTTGCTCTCATTGCGACAGGCCTGTTATTTAGATGAACATTATCACTGCTGTAGGAGTCACCGTGGTGTAGTGGCTAGACCCTAAACTGTGGATCAGTAGGTCGTGGGTTCGTGTCCAAACTAAAGGGGACTTTTTTTTTAATGACTCCCAGGTTGACCCAGCCAAGACCGCCTCCAGCTGGAGCCGGTCTTGACCAAGCCTTGAGTGGCTACAACATGCGGTTCTGGGAAGTAAAGGCCAGCGGCGCTACTGTGACCACATCACCCCCCAAGTGCCGATCTTTTTATAAAATATAGGTCTAGCCCTATATGCCCAATATGCCTGAAGGTGGAGAAAGAGTCGTTTATTTTGACTTTTTATTACTGTTGTTCTACCAAGACCTCAGTAGAATGTACCCTGTAGTTAAACCTCGACGTTACCTCTTTCTCTCATAGTCGTCACAACAGCATGATGGGCCCCTGGACAAACCAATGTTCTGACGCCCCTACTACATCTACTCCCGGAATGATATGTTTAATTATGGCAAGTCACTTTACTGATGAGCCTGGGGCTCTATGCTCGGGGAGCCCTGAGGCAAGTGCTCAGCTGGCCCCCGGCTTAGGGCATCGCTGCTCTCCCACTCCTGCTCCATGATACGTTCAACCCCTAGTAAGCCTGACATTCTATCTCTTCCACGTTTACTCTGGGAATACTGCCATACAATTTCCCCAAAGCCAGTCCCTGACATTCTGTCTCTCTCACGTTTATGCCGGAAATACTGCCATACAATTTCCCCAAAGCCAGTCCCTGACATTCTGTCTCTCTCACGTTTATGCCGGAAATACTGCCATACAATTTCCCCAAAGCCAGTCCCTGAAATTCTGTCTCTCTCACGTTTATGCCGGAAATACTGCCATACAATTTCCCCAAAGCCAGTCCCTGACATTCTGTCTCTCTCACGTTTATGCCGGAAATACTGCAATACAATTTCCCCAAAGCCATTTCCCGACATTCTGTCTCTCTCACGTTTATGCCGGAAATACTGCCATACAATTTCCCCAAAGCCAGTCCCTGACATTCTGTCTCTCTCACGTTTATGCCGGAAATACTGCAATACAATTTCCCCAAAGCCAGTTCCCGACATTGTATCTTTCTCACGTTTATGCCTGAAATACTGCCATACAATTTCCCCAAAGACAGTCCCTGACATTCTGTCTCTCGCACGTTTATGCCGGAAATACTGCCATACAATTTCCCCAAAGCCAGTCCCTGACATTCTGTCTCTCTCACGTTTATGCCGGAATTACTGCAATACAATTTCCACAAAGCCAGTTTCCGACATTCTGTCTCTCTCAAGTTTATGCCTGAAATACTGCCATACAATTTCCCCAAAGCCAGTTCCCGACATTGTATCTTTCTCACGTTTATGCCTGAAATACTGCCATACAATTTCCCCAAAGACAGTCCCTGACATTCTGTCTCTCGCACGTTTATGCCTGAAATACTGCCATACAATTTCCCCAAAGACAGTCCCTGACATTCTGTCTCTCTCAAGTTTATGCCGGGAATACTGCCATACAATTTCCCCACAGCCAGTTCCCGACAATGTATCTCTTCCATATTTATTCCGGGAATACTGCCATACAATCTTCCCCTAAATTCAGTGCCCGACATTCTATCTTTCAGTCTTATATTCCCTAAAGACTGTCACGCAATATTCCCATAGTCCTACGCCGACATTCTATCTCTGTCACTTATATTCCCATAATACTGCCGCTCAATCTCCACATAGACCTTCTCCCACTTTCTATCTCCTCGAAGTCTTTGCTAAAATGAAACAGTTCATGTCCAAAGAAGATCACGACCCAGTTATCAGACTGTCATTAGCGCTATGTTATCTTTGCTGATGGCGACAACCCACACCCGGGGTGTTTCCATTCCCGCTCTGTTTGTTCTAGATTTCAGTCCATAATTGTTTTATTGATGCTGAGCTCCTGCTAATTGCCAACTGTTGACATTTGAAACGCTTAAGTACAGTCAACACAAACATGGATCCGATACAGCGGTGAGGTATTATATTCCCTAGTATTATCAAATAGGAGCAACTGCTGGACCTGGTTACGGCACTGGACTGTTGTGATGGACATCCAGGTCCATTAAATACTTATTTTGGGACATCACCTCAAAGTCCCCCCCAGTCATTTTTAATGACCCTGTAATTTGACGTTATTTGACGTCCGTTGGACCCAAAAAGGTTTCAATTGCTTTAGGTATTGCAGATTCCAGAGCCATAAAAGAAAAAAAAAAAATACACGTTATCACTTTATGTGGCTATCTTTGGCTTTAACTACAATTATCGCCGCCAATGTCGTTTTAATCAGTGTTTCTGGACCTTTTAACATACTTGGCCCACCAGAATAGTGGGTATTATTTCGCCCAACATTTGACAGTCAATAAATAAACAGAAACAAAATAAACGCGTACAGGAATCTTATAAACGCTACATTCCTATAAATAAACTGGGAAGGGGGGGGGGGGGGACCATTTGAGACTTAAATGGTTCCCCCCTCTGTTTATTTATAGGAATGACGTATACACACCGGAACCTACTAATTAAATACCTTTCTTAAATGTTTGTGTATTCTAGACAAAGCAATAAGGTCTTGGTGTGTTCGTAAATTGTTGCTGTGATTGTTATTCGACATTTGCTTCGTTAATATACATTTCTGTAACCTACGGTGCCATTTCAATGGGTTGAAATGAATTCTGTCCGTATTCCATAGTCGTGGATTTTCAAGCTGTACGATAGACATGGCCAATAAGACACCTTTTTTTGGGCGGGGGGGGGGGAAGAGGGGCGGGGGGTGCCTAGTTGACCATGTATCTTAGTGCATTTGTATTCATGGCGAGGCGCAGACGCCGTCTGGAGGTGACAGGTTCAATTCCCGGCACGATAACTATAGCTTTCGATTTTTATGTTGTCTAGTGTGTTCTACTTCTTTCTATGAGTGCCGTTCACAATACTTTCTGTTACTTGATTAATTCATAAACGCTACATGAGTTATTGTCCTTGAGAGCAAACGCTCTGGCTGGCATTGCGACTATCAAGAATGGACCCTCTATGGAGAGGAGAGACATCATCAATGCCATAAGAGGGACTAAACTATGTGAGGCTTTCAGTTTCATGGAAAATGATCTTTCAATGAATAGACTGCATACCATGGACCAATCCAAGCCGGATTACAGGTTAAATAACTGTCGGGTACCGCGATCGAAACCCACTGCGGGCTGCGTGGATTTTTATCGTGGTATGGGACGTCGCAGGTCGACCCAGCCTCAAATGGGTACCAGGATGGGCTGTCCTGGAAAAGTAAAGACAGCCGGCGTAATGCTGACCACATTACCCACAGAGTGCTGATGGTCTGTAAAAATATGGGCGCTCTTCCCATATGCCCGATACGCCTAAAGGCGTGAAAGGGATCTTTACTTTTTACTTACCATAATATTACTGTTTTCAACGGTTAACTCTTTGAGTCCCAGGGGTTTAGTATCACAGGCCCAGTGGGTAGTAAAGAAAGTAATAAAATCGGCGCATCTTGTGTTCATTGGGCTTCTAGGTAGAAACCTATCAAGGTATGATGCGTTCCTTGGGACTCAAAGAGTTAAATGGGCTTTCCGGGATTTTTACCGGTTTCATTCAAATTCCTGAGGTGTTAAATCCATACAGACAGCAATCAAGGAAGGGGGGGGAGGGCACTGCCAAGCCCAACATAGTTAAATGTTACATGGTTAGATATGATGTTTTTATGACAAACCTACACTTTTTTTGCGAGCCACCCAAGACCCGAGGCCACCAGTTGAAGAAGGCTGATTTAAATCCCACGCAAATATCGATTTCACTCACTCTGGAACGTTTGAACTCGCATGAGAATTGCCCTCGTTAACGTTGACCATCTACCATAACCTGAATTATTGAGTTCTTTTTGTCGTACATGGGCATTTCACAGTGGGGCCACATTGTAATAATACCGTAAACCAGTGATTCCGAAACTGTGCGCCGCGGCGCCCTGAGGAACCGCGATCTTTTTACAGGGGCGCCGCGAAATATTTGAGGATACACGAGTTTTTTAAATGTTTTTTTCTAAAATCTCTTACATACAAATAGTCATACTTTTACTTAGGTTAGGACGCCGTGAAACAATTTTAAATGAAAAAAAAAAGGCGCCGCTGCTAAGAAAAGTTTGGAAAGCACTGCCGTAAACCGTTGTCTGTTCAGAAACTTGTGTTCTCAACTCATAAGTAAATTCCGCGAGGAAGCTTAAAAACTATTTGATTCAGCGGACGATTCAGTTTATTTATCTTTCAGTGGTATCAAGGGTTCCAACGATTTATTTCCGTACATATCAAATATGTATTATAATATGGCTAGTTTTATTGTGTGTTAATCCGGCTGTTCGTTTAGATCACGGCCAGCTCTAGCAGTAAGGCCGAACAGGTCTACGGACATTTTGTTAGGTCGGTCGACGGACTGTCTGTGCTCACCAATGTTATTGAGTAAATTTATACACAAGTTAAACTACAGTTTAATTATCTTGCAACATATTTAATTGAATGAATTATTATTATGAGGATAAATCAGTGAGCCTTTAGAAAATATTATAATAATAATGAAATGTTCAATTAAAATATGTTGAAAGTTAATGGAATATTAGTTTTATTTGTGTATAAATTTACTTGATAACAACGGTAAACACAGAACGGCCGTGGACCAGCTTAACAAAACGGGAATTTCCGTAGACCTGTTCGGCCTTACTGCTGGAGATGGCCGTGGTTTAGATAAATGGCGGGTTTCTTGTGTTATTTTTGTTTACGAGAACAGATGCACGCTGTTGGAGAGGACCTGCTGACCTTACAGACACGGAACATGACCCTGGAGCAATTTGGCCAGGTTTGTTTGTTGTGTCCGACCAAGGTGGAGTCAAATTCAGATTAGATAAAAGCAGGAAGTGCACACAAAGACTGGCTAAACCACAGTTATCCTCTTGTGGGATGCAAGTTTTCGTTATTCTGAAGCCCCACTCTGGCTCTTGCCAGGGGCGGCAATATAGCCTGGCCATAAATGTGGCCTAATGGCTGAACTCGGTTTCCGGGACCTCTCTACAGGTCCTTATCCTTATCCGCATGGTGACGCTTTGTGTCATCGGGTGTTTATCGCTTGTTCGATGTCTTGGTGGGGTAAAAGTACTACTACTACTACATAGACTGGATAATACCGGGGTAATTCATATACTTGAGTCATGTTGAAGCATACCAGGCTCGCACACTGAGCGATTACCACCCGATGACGCAAGAGTCTTTGACTTAGTCAAGTTTTCAACTTCACTGCGATCGGGTTTCCCCATACTTGCTCTGTTCCTGTGTCAATGAAAATCAAATTAAATGTCCCTCATTTGAAAAAATTGGTGGACAAAAAAATTAGTCCCTGAACAATTCAGAAATACACAGTAAATGGATTTGGAAGTTGCTGGAGGAGCCAAAGCCAACAGTCGTCACCCGAAATGCAGTTTGTCGTTGATGGAAGTATTCGGGCAAGACAATAAACACGTAGAATAATAATTTCACCATCTCACGCGTAAACCGGCTACAGACCATATTGAATACCACGACACAACCGCTGCACAAATAAAAGGCATTCTACATTAAAAACACAGCTCACAGTGCTGCACCAAGCACTAAACTCAGTACCTCCAGCAGCGAAACCGTAGATTATCGCCCATGTGTGGAAACTGCATTAGCAAAGCGCTATTCAAATGTGAATCCCCCAGGAAAATCTCAAAAACCACCGTGTGTCTCCGATTATTACAAAGTAACCGATAGTTCATATGAGGTAGGGCATAATGACGAGTTCATGTGACTGTTGTAGAAAATGAAACTGATTCGATCCATTGTGAGGTAGTTGCTATCTAAGATTTACAATATGAAACAAAGACATTGTAAAAGTTAATGTAAAGTAAGATAGTTGGTTGCTTTATACCCAGTGATAAAGAATGGGACAAGATGATAAGGTGTCTTTCTGGGTATGGAGAGGGAGAGCAAATTATGAATAAGAAGTAGAAGAAGAAGAAGTAGTAGTAGTAGTAATAGTAGGAGTAGTAGTAGCAGTAGTAGTAGTAGTAGTAGCAGTAGTAGTAGTAGCAGCAGAGGAAGCAGCAGCAGTAGTAGTAGTAGTAGTATTTATAATATTAGTAGTAGTAGTAGTAGTAGTAGTAGTAGTAGTAGTAGTAGTAGTAGTAGTAGTAGTAGTAGTAGTAGTAGTAGTAGTAGTAGTAGTAGTAGTAGTAGTAGTAGTAGTAGAAAAAGAAGAAGAAGAAGTGGAGCAGGAGGGGAAAAAAGAAAAAAAGGAGGAGGAGGAAAAAGAGAAGAAAGAAGAACAGAAGGCGAAGAAAAGTAGAAGACGAGAAGGAAGAAGAAGTAACAGCAAGAGAAGGAGTAGGAAGTAGGAGTAGGAGTAGAAGAAAAAACAAAGGAAGAAGAAGAAGAAGCAACAGCAGCAGAAGGAGGAGGAGGAGGAGGAGGCGGAGGAGAAGAAGAAGAAGAAAAAGAAGTGGAGCAGAAGGAAGAGAAAAAGAGGAGGAGGAAAAAGAAAAGAAAGAAGAACAGAAGGCGAAGAAGAGTAGAAAGACGAGATGAGAAGGAAGAAAAACTAACAGCAAGAGGAGGAGCGTGAGTGAAGGAGGAGAAGAAAGAACAGAGAAAGAAGAAGCAACAGCAGCAGAAGCAGGAGGAGGAGAATGAGGAGGAGGAGAAGAAGAGGAAGAAGAAGAAGAACCAAGGAAGAGAAGGGGAGGAAGTATGATGACGACGAGGAAGTTAGGAGAAGAAGAATAGGAAATAAAAGAGAGAAAAAAATACACGGTGACCCAAAGAGCTGTATTGCCACGTGCTTGTCTCCCTGTTCAGCTGCAGATGTTTCTGGCCAAAGCCAACGGACCGAGCATGGGCTTTTCTGTTCTGGGCCTTATTGTCGTCACACGAGAGCTCTTGCTGACGGTACGTGGGCTGTTGTTATCGTGTGGTTATCATCACCATCATCGTCATCATTATCAGTACACTCGCCTTAAAAACGCATCAAGTACTCGCTTACCTAGTCACTCAGTCAGTCAATCACTCGCTCACCCACTCACATACTCATTCACCCACATACTCACTCATTCCCATACTCACTTAAAAACATACTCACTCACCCTTTTAACTACTCACACACTCCCCCATTCAAACACTCACTCACACATACTCACGAGGTCACTTACACACTCACTCACTCACACACACATTCACTCACTCACTCCCTCACACTCACTCACTCACTCACTCACTCACTCACTCACTCACTCACTCACTCACTCACTCACTCACTCACTCACTCACTCACTCACTCACTCACTCACTCACTCACTCACTCACTCACTCACTCACTCACTCACTCACTCACTCACTCACTCACTCACTCACCCACATACTCAGTCGCTCATTCCTATACTCACTACAAAAAAAAAAACATACCCACTCACCCTTTAAACTACTCACACACTCCCCCATTCAAACACTCACTCACACATACTCACGCAGTCACACTCTCACTCACTCACTCTCTCTCTCTCTCTCTCTCAATCAATCACCTATTCAGCCACTCTTTAAAAAAAAATAATGGACATGAATCCACAGAGATAAAAAAAATCAGAGCTTATAAAGGGGGCGGGGTAAAGAATAGGAGTGGCGTTAATTATGACATCTCAGAAATTTTCCATTAGCGAAATTAGTCGTTTGCAAAATTCCCGATATGAAAGATGACCAATTCACGATCCATACATACTTTATGGTTACACATTATGTCATTTTATTTTCTTTTGTATTTATTTCCACCTAAGCGCTGTCAGTGTTTAAAAAATGTTTTAATACTCATTTTTTATTTTCAACATTAGAAAATATCTTTGTATTCTGTGTATACGTTTTTATGTTTGTTCTTGATATACTTAGATACCCGCACACACCACACACAAGCGCGCACGCACGTACGCACACACACGCACATTACTTTGCCTTGCTACTGAGTTGTAATAGACCTGAACTCTTGTTCTGATTGCAGATGTTCGGTATCTACCTCACATACGGTATTGTGCTGCTGCAGTTCCCGTCGTAATCGTGGCACTTGAAACACTGTTGCTTTAATGACGTCCTCTTCTGCAAGCCTATTCACTATTCTAGTTTGGATACCAGAAAGTGGCGAACATCTCCGAGGATCGCCGATGATTCACGAGGAGCTTAACGCTGAACCGCCCAGCCAGTTATTTCCAATACGTTAATAAATTAATAGATTATTATTTGCTTTGATTGGCTGAAAAGAGGGGTTCTTTCGAAAAAAGTCACCAAAGATAACGTCATGGGGACAGTCCAATATTGTATAGGGTGGTAAGACCGGGTTTCCCGGCTTTGTGGTGCTTGTAACTACACAAAAACATCTTGAACTGGACCTAACCCTAATCCACTTACATCCCACGACTGCATGCAGTCTAGGTGCCACGACTGCATGCAGCATAGGTCCCACAACTGCATGCAGCCTATCTACCACCCTTGAAATATTGGACTGTCTGTTTGGGGTGACTTATTACGAACGCACCAAAGGAGGAATTAAAGGTACATTTTTCAAGTTCACCCCATCTCGGGGACACTAACTGGGTTAGTGTTAGTCGATGTTCCTTTCACAATCATACACCCTCTATACTATTGGATTTTCCTCTAAACTCCTCACGACATCTCAGATTGTCCGAGATGGGGTGAATTAAAAAAAAGAACCAAATTAAATACCCCAGGTTCATGAGTAAGTTCCGCGGCCTCATTCTGCGGTAAAGAGGCATAGACCTACAGTCTCCCTCACATCATCATCATCAATCAACAGGTTGTTTTACAGAACGTCGCTCTCTTTCCCTAGCCAGTTCTCCGGCTATATGTCCTTTCAAAGCCAATGCATCTGAAATGTCTTCTATCCATATCCTCAGAGGTCTGCCTCTGCCTCGTTTTCCGGAAACTGTACCCTCTATCACCGTTCTCTCTAGGCCAGTTTTCTGTTTAACATGGCCAGAATACTTCATCTTTCGGGACAGAATGCTGTTTATGAGCCAGTTTTCCTCGACGCTCAGACCAGGATGTCGGCCTTTTTCTTTTTCTTGGTGTCCCTTCACATGCACGTCGTAAATAGTGACTAAAAAAGAGTTGTTGAAAGTGAACGTGTTGTTTGAGGCGCAGATATCGCAGCTTAGATTAAAAATACGAGAGTATGCACCAACTGTCTTTGTAAAGGCGAACACAGAAGAAGAAGAAAAGAAGAAGAAGAAGAAGAAGAAGAAGAAGAAGAAGAAGAAGAAGAAGAAGAAGAAGAAGAAAGAAGAAGAAGAAGAAGAAGAAGAAAGAAGACGAAGAAAAAGAAGAAGAAGAAGAAGAAGAAGAAGAAGAAGAAGAAGAAGAAGAAGAAGAAGAAGAAGAAGAAGAAGAAGAAGAAGAAGAAGAAGAAGAAGAAGAAGAAGAAGAAGAAGAAGAAGAAAAAGATGAAGAAAAAGAAGAAGAAAAAGAAAACAAAGGAGGAGGAGAAGGAGAAGAAGAAGAAGAAAAAGAAGAAGACGACGAAGAAGAAGAAATGCCCTAGAATCAACATCTTGGGTGTAACCCATAAGTGCTCCCTTCTTCTTCTAAATGAAGTCTGAGTCCGAAGAAGCTCAGCACAATGCACAGGCTCTGCAGCACCGGCAAGGATCTACTTTGGGTAGATTTTTAGCGCCGTTAAGCAAATCTTTTCGATTTTCAACGGCCAAGGGATTTTTTTTTTTTTTTTACGTGCGCAACATTGCACACGGGAGTCCGATCTCACTACCCATAGACCAAGGGGGATTGCTAGAAGTCCAAGTCCACGTGAAAAAATCACTACCCCTACCGGGGACTGAACCCGGAATCTAGCACTCGAGATGGACACAATACCTCGAGACCACGCAGCCCCCTAGATCCCTCTCCAAAACTAGCTATACGGACCATCTTAAAACTTGCAACAGGGAACTGAAAGTTCGAATCCTCAACCTGTGCTTTTCAGAGCGCTAAACGAATGGTTTAACTAGGCCAGTCAGCAACACCCCCCCCCCCCCCCCCTCATATTTTTTTTCTGTTTCTCTTCTCTTCCCCCATGAATTTATCTCTTTCCAGATTTATATTATCTCCGGTTTCTCATTCTGTAGATTAAAATCCATGTATGGTCATGTGTGTTGCTTAGTCGCTAATTTATGTTCATTATGTTTTGTATCTACAGTTGCTTGCCAGTCATTTACATTTTGTGTTTTAAATAGAACGAGATTAAATGCGTAGGTAGGTAAAAGTTGAAGTGGAAACGAGCAAGAGGTAGACAGCGATAAAAGTGGGAGGATAACATTAGGGGATTATCCAGTTTCGTTCTTTTTAGGGCGAATATTTTTTGTTATTTGAAGCCCCACCCTGGCTTTTGCCAGGGGCCGCAATATAGGCAGGCCATAAATATGGCCAATTGTCTGAACGCGGTTTCTGGGACCTCTCCACGGCGATCCTCATCCGCATGGTGGCACTTTGTGTCATCGGGTGTTTATCGCTTGTGTGATGTCCTAGTGGGGTAGAAAGTCAAGTCAAGTCATTAGGAGATTAACGATCAGCAGGTTGAGAGTTCAAATATCTTGGCTTTCACATATGCAACGATGGCAGCTGTACCCAAGAGATCAAGACAAGACTTGATATGGCAACAGCTGAATACGATGTGGAAGAGCAAAATCAGCATCGCAGTCAAGGTCAATATTTACAAATCACTGATGTTGTCTATTTTCTTATACGGATGTGAGAGTTGGACTCTTACTGTGGAAATAGAACAGAAGATTCAGGCTTTCGAATGTAAATGCTACAGGCGCATTAAAATTCACAATGTTTCCATTTTTTTTCCCTTCTTCGACGCTTTTGACAGAAAATGTTGAATGTTAAACTAAGAATCATCATCATCATAGCACTCGGGAGACTCCCATAAGCCCCCGTCCTCATCTCCAGCAGCAAGCGAAGAGTTCTTATTCCGTTGGAACCAGTAACTGTATGATTGTACATCCGTCTCGCCTTTCCTTTAAATGTTGAGCGTCGGTCAGATCCCCTGCTAACGCCCCGACGCGTCATTCTGCTCAGACCGTAATGATCTATTTGTGCCCTTCGCACTGCTTACTCGCTCCCAAGTCCTCACAACATCCAGCTTGTCGTACAATCAATTCACCGCCAAGTGATGCAGACTGGCCAGTCTGTCCTCCTGCTCGTTTCCCAACACACCAGCATTACCAAGAGAAAATATCCAAAAAACGTCAACTACCCGAGTCTCTGAAGCGATGCTTGCCACTCTGCATGGACCATGCCTGGCGACAATTGCGATATGTATGACAGCTGATTCTCAAGCCAGTGAAAGGCAGCAGTGACTGCCTCCACCTCCATTCTCAAACCAGACATAGTGATATCATATGCCAGGCTTTGTTGCACCAAGCAACGTCCATTAACATTTGCTATGAACACCCACGCACTCCACTTTCCTTCCACACAGACCCATCTGTATAGATAATCACATCACCTGGGCAGAAATTGTTTATGACAGGGGACCAAAAAAAAAAAAAAAAAACAACTGAAACGTGACTGTCCCAAGGTATATAGGATTTCAAAACGTACCGTGTATTAGATACCCCATGTTTAAGAAGTCCAATAAAAAAATAAATCCCAACAATAATAAATATATATTTTAAACACATTCGTGTATGAAGACTAGGCCCAATTTTAAACTTAAATAGTTTAGGAAAACATATTGTCTTATATACAGAAAAAATGTTCAACGCGTAAAGACAATTTATAGTATAGATAAGACATTAATCGGTACTTTATTAATATCCTACCCCAGATGACATCACAGGACAGTCCAACATTTTAGAAAATTTTACGACTGAGTTCACCGACTTTCTGATGCTTTTAACGACCCCAAAACATTTAGAACTAGCCCTAACACCAACCCACCTACGTCCCAGGAAGGAGAGCAGCCTAGGTTCCACGACTGCATGCAGCCTAGGTACCATGACTGCATGCAGCCTATTTATCACCCCCTGAAATATTTGACTGTTCCGTGACCCGTGGATTTCCCCTGTTTGTGGTAGCATATTAATAAAGCACCGATTAATCGACTTCTTTTGACGTTATGCGTCAATTCCAAATATACTGAATAGATTTAGGGGAGATAACAAAATATATTTAAGTAGGTTTTTAAAATGTTAGTTGTGTACCCTTACAGGAGTTTACACAACCAGCTTTGCTGTCTTTTTTGGTTTTACTGGGAAATTTTACGTTAATTAGTTTGCCATTGCTCTCGTTACCCCTTTTGAAATCAACACAAGTTCCAATCACCCCACAGTTGGAATCGAACCCGGTACCTAAGAATTACCAAGCTCATTGGCAGCGCTAAGCCACAGACGCCGACTAAGCCTGGTAGCAGCAACGAATATATTCTGGGTGGGGAAAGAGGGGTGGGGGATAACGTTTATAAATGATTGTGCTTCAGATCGACTCAGTCTATAATGGGTCCCGGAAAATATCCTAGGAAATAAAGGCGTCGGTGCAATGTGACCAATCACCCTGATTGGCGATTGCTCTATTTAAAAAAAAAAAAAAAAAATGTCTAGTGCCAAAAGCGTGAATAGGGACATCTACTATTTATCAAAACATGATGATAAAAATATTGCCGGGATGCCGGGTTTGATCCCAACTGCAGGAATTGCGCCTTGCGTTGGTTTTCACAGCGGTATCAAGAAAGCCGACAGTCCAGAAGCAATGGCAAACTACTGGACGTAAATTTGCCTAGAAAAAACACACACTAGCCAGAGGCTGTTGGGATTGGTTTTGCAACGCCCTGTAAAGGATACGCAACTAACCTAAGTCAGCTCTGTGGCTATGTCGATGCGAACGCTTCGTGATGCCGGGTTCGATCCCAGTTGCGGGCATTGCGCCTCGCGTTGGTTTCGACAGCGGTATCAAGAAAGCCGACCGTCCAGGGGCAATGGCAAACTACTGGACATAAATTTGCCTAGAAAAACCACACACTAGCCAGAGGCTGTAGGGATTGGT